CTGCTCCTAAGACCTTCACCTTATCAGGAGAGAAGCTGTGGCCCTGGATAGCATGAACACAAAGCACTATTTCAGTGAAGATTTACGTTACATAAAGTCCTGTCATTTGAACAACGGAAAACATAGGAATATTAAAAAACATCTGGTTTAGAAAGCCACATCTGGTTTAGAAAGGAGAATGGTTTTGGTAAAGCAGGTTTATTCTGAAACCTCTGTGAGGCAAATTTATGCTCTGAAAGATCAACAAAATCAACAGCTTCCTTGAAAGACACAAATGAAGAGCTGACTGATTTCCCTGGCAGGTAAATGACAGGCAAGTTCAGGGCAGCCAGCTAGAGCCAAAATTCGCCTCAAAGGCCATGGAGTTGCCTGTAGCTGTGCAAACAGAAGACACAGAACTTTAGGAGCTTTTTGCTTGTTTCGGAATCATCAAATGTCAGTTTTGTCAATGATTTCAGGAACTGAGGACTCCACAAAATTGAGAGAATAAATAACCCAGGGTTTGGCACTTCTTTTAAAAATCTGACAGCAGCACTTTCATGCAATTAGTTGCTTTGAATTAATAAGGGTTAATAAATAATTAAATCATTGTATGTGCTGAAGCAAATTCTGTTCAAGTAAGCATTTAAAAAGCTGCCTATTTATTTTGTTACGCCTTGCACAGAGTAATTAATCATTTACAATGTTTTTTAAGTATTTAAAAGGCGAGTAAGTGGGTGCTGCTGTTTAATCATTGGACTTCACCAGGCTTCTGCTCTGCTAATTTTCTCTGCACACAGATAAGGTAGCCATGGGGAAGAGCGCAAAGGGACTCTCTTGTCAGTGGGGTTATCCCAGTTCTCACAGGCAAAGTACAGAAAAGGGTTTTAAAGTGAAATCTAGTGATTCAGCTTGGAAATAAAGGCTTGCTTCAAAGATGCTGTGTATCAACAAAGGCACGTTGAGCGACCTTGAAAGATCCGTCCCCCATCTCTGCATTGCTTCTGTTTTCCCGTCAGAGTGAGGAGCAAAGTTAACTACATTCTTGGCTAGAAAATATCAGTGAGTAGACAGAGCATTTTTATTATGTGTTTTAGTGTAGAACAATATATGAAGCATCTTCTCTTTCAAGGTTAGCCTAAGAGAAAAAGGGGTAGTCTCCTGCCTGCTCTCCTATCAACTAAAGCACCCCAAGGCATTGAGGGAATGCTTTACTCCACAGTACAGATCTTTCTTCCTTGTGTGTTTAATTATTACTTTTTTTAAACAGAGAGAAGTGTATCATATTTCACCACAGGTGACAAAACTGACAGTTCCTTGCATCTTTCTGCATTATTTAAAAATCATCTGGTTTTCTACAGCTAGAAATGTTATGAAAAAAAAAGCCATTTCCCATGGGTAGGAACATTTTTAAAGAGTTCCTGATTATAACATGCCCCCCCAAAAGAAGAAGCGTGTAACAAGGGGGAGAAAACCAGAAGAAAGAGTGACTTATTCCAAGCCATTTCTTTGAACAAGAGCTTCATTATATGTGGATTTGAAACACAAGGTGTAGAACACAGACCTAAGTCTCAAAAGCTGGGCAGGAGCAAAAGGAATAGATGAAAGAAAAGGATTTACCAGAGAAAGAAGACAGGGAGGCAGCAAATGGTAGCCAAAATACATTCTGGAAACCAGAGAGAAGGCACAGAACTTTGCGAAGCGGCAGCAGCTTGCAGTTCTTAAATACTGAGGCTTGGAAAACACACAGGCTGCAGCTTAGCAAGCAGCAGACAGTTTGAGTTCCCTGCCCCACAGAAGATGATGCACAGGAAACTAGGAATTTGCTGGGCTTGGTAAAAAGTGCTTGCCGCCCTTTTCCTCCTTATAAGTCACACTCTCCGCAGGGAGTTTGCCGGCTGTTTGTATAGCCAGGGCTAAGCACGTGGGTCCTCCCTGCAGCCAGCCAGCTGCACAAGGCCTGGGCAAGCTGCAGAGAAGGGGCAGGAGTGCCCCAAGGAAGCACCATGGGTAGAGACGCCAGGGCCCATTCCCACCTCTGCTTCAGTGCAGGAATCTCCGTGGGTTCGGGCTCGAGGATTTCATAGGCTAAGTTAACATCTTCCGTCTCGCGAAGCAGGGCGTAAATAGGCTCAATTTGCTCGTTGAATCTTGCTACAAGAGTCCTGGCATCCTTTTTGGGCATCGCCGACTCGTCTTCCTCCACTTCGGTCTCACAGAAAGTACAGCGGAAAGTTCCTAAAACGAAACAAAACAGAAAGATGCTAGGCATCAGAAGAAAAGCAACAGGCCCAGCTTTTGACACCATAGTTTTAACAGTGGTACGTTGTTGGTTCCTTAGCTTGATGCTAAAGAGCTTTCCTCATGCTGGCAATTCCCTCCCCACATCCAGTGTACCTGGTTAGTACTTCAACAGGAAACAAAGCAAGCCTGTTGAGGCCATCCATTGATGCTCGGCTTGGGCTACAGTGTCTCCTTGTAAAAGGCCTCGCTGGGTTGCAGCAGCACTACCAAGACATCTCGGAGCTCACGTCTGCTTCCTTGCCACACATTTAAAATGTTGTCCACTACTGGGCTGTGATACAAAACTTCACAGTACATCCTTAGGAGTTCAAATGCCAGCTCCTTCAGGTGCGTGTACTGCCATTTTTACAGGTGTGCCCCATGAGCAGGTTACTTTGGCAGTGGAGCAGGGTGTAGGTTTACACTGCACTAAATACTCTGCAGTAGCTGCCAGTGGAACCGTTCTCACCCTGCAGCAAGCATGAGAAAAGAGGGCTACTCCTTCTGCTGCAGGGCCTAAGCATGCAGGAGAGTCATTACTGCAGAGCAGCAAACGCGAAAGAACAGCCCACCTCACCCCCATATGAATTTCCTCAAATTAGTGCAAAGCTAAGAACCACATGAATGGCAATTCAGAATGCACTTGTTTCACGGACATCATCGGGATCTATAAAAGCAAGATAAACACAAGGCAAATGAACCGGCTGCTGGCACTGCAGCTGAAACAGCTTCCTGAACCTGTGCTCAGCAGGCTTTTGGGTTCACTGGCCCACGTTTGAGCAGGAACTGTGGGGAGGTGCATTGCCACTAGGTCTTTGCCACCTGGTCCATTAGGAGGGCAACAGCATGGGGTGAGGATTTATCCTTCCAAGTGTTGGACTGAGAAAGCGTTTGATGCCTCCCTACAACACTCACATCCTGAGCTTCACCCAGAGACCAGCATTTCTCTGCTCCCTGTGTGATGTTTTAGTTATCCTTTCTGTGGTACCTCTACACATCTAGCATCATCTCTCAATACCATAACCCAGATATCTTTTTACTCCTAGAGAGCCCAAGGACAGGTCACACCAGGGGAAGCTCACGTTGAGACTTCCATACAACCCATACAAGAGTCTGCTACATCACTGACGTGAGGTATCAACAGAAGCAAGGGAACGTGGTTTGCCCAAGGCACTGAGGCCAGATATAGGAGACCAGGCTTGCAAGCCAGCACTTCTGGCATCTCGTCTTGCTCCTTACTCAAGTTTGCTTGCCTTGTTACTTCAAACACACACCTGTCTTCTTCACTGAGGGCTGGGCAGCGCTTGGAAAGCAGATAAAAGCACTGCTTGTAACAGGAGGTAGAAGCTGTGGTACCTCTCGATATAGTCTTCATGAACACAGTTTTCTACCTTGGCACCATTTTATCCGAGTGTATTCTATGCGTGGCCTGCAATTGGTACACAATTCCTGGAATAAACTTCTCTTTTTAAAGTTTTGTCTGGGCTACATGTAAAAGCTGGAGCGGCCAGCAGCAGTGGCAGGCAAAGTAAAGGACATGTGGGTAGGGTGCTCTTCTCCCCCATCCAAGCATAAAACACTGTGCTTGTTTCTTCGGGATGTAAAAATTGCCACTACTGATTCAGAAACTGCGTGTTATATAAGCAGTCAGGCTGGCTAAAAGTGAAGCCCAAGTCTGGTCTCTTTATACCCCATCAGTCTGACAAATCTGTACAATTTGTATCATTTAAAAATAATTAGTACATCTCAGCTCCCATAACGGCCTGAACAAACAAATGCAGACTGACGGGGAAAACTCTCTTCTCTTTCATAATCCCACTTCAAGCCCTGTTCCTGAGACAGCTCAGACTTTTCACACTTCCACTCTGGATCCCCCTGAGGATTTGCAAAGGTTATAAAGATAGAGCGGATGGTTCCGACTCAGAGTACCTAAAAATCAGAAGGCAAATACAGCGCTAATGAAACTGAATTCCTAAAGCCACGGTGGATTTGCTGCAACTGCTATCCCTTAGGGCTCCCAATGAGCGACAAATAAAAAGTTAATAGCTGAATTATGCAAAGAATCTGGGAATGATTGAACCGACAAGCTTTCCCCGTTAATATGCTGTTTTTTTTCAGGGTGACGCAGCACTTCACAAGAGGCTTCTATGACTCGAGAAGCCAGAAGCTGCTCTGCCATGACAGATGGCATTTATGTGCTGCAAATCTCTTCTGCTGGATGCTAAGAGGTCAAAAATGTCACCAGAGCTTTCATGACATGGCACATCACATTAGCACTGACACATGATCCTTCCAGATAAATGCCACATGCGCCTCACATGAAGTGGAGACTATCCAGAGGCTGCAGCTGCCGCAATGTTTTGCTCTTGTCACATTTCTTCCTCCAGCCTTGATACCACCACCGTTTTTCCATTCCCATATGTTGCTTAAAGCAGGGCAAGCACACCCTGGAGCAAACATACAGGAGGCTTTCCTGCACCTGAGGAGAGCATACACGCCCTGTTCTTGCCATGCACCCTTATTTATTCCTGGTTCAAGCACTCAAGAGATTTCTTGGCATGTTAAAAAAATGAACAAACAAACAAAAAAACAGCCCTCTGACAATATCTCATCTGCTCCTAGACTCTCAGTGATGGAAACACCGGTAATCCGCCCCCCCCCCTCCTCCGAGGCATACTCGGATTAAACTGTAGCTCCAGCTCTAAAGCAGAGGGCCAGAATATTACGAGATAATTCCCAGTGACTTGATTTCACTCAAGAGAAGGAAAAGGTCCCCACGCATTAGAGACCCGGTGCCCAAAGCAGGGCACTCTCAGCAGGTCCAGGATGGCAGAATTAACCACACACACCCCTTGCCTCAGTTCGGCTCAGCTCGAGCGCACAGGTTTAAGTGGCCACAGGCGCCCGAGTCTGCGTCCAGGATCTGCTCACCCCCTTTCCCAAAGGGATCGAGTGGCATCCTCAGCCCAATGAGGTGTTTTCCTTCCTTTCTCCCCTGTGGGATACTGTCTCACAATCGCACTCCTCTGATGCTTACAATCACTTCAATTTTCAATCTAAATATCTTCCCATTCCTTTCAAACCTAGAAAACTGCAAGAAAATGTCCTCTGCTTTGGGGGGCACCTCCCACCCTCTTGTTAGTCCCTTAGGTATTTTTACAAATTGTTGTCATACCCTCTCTTCCACTTTCATTTTGCAAGGCTAAATAAGCAAATCTCCCAGATATTTTGTCCTCCTTGATGAGCTCCAGATCTACAGGAGATGTTTCTGTTAGACGCTAGGTGCATGACAGTACTTTATACGAATCCTTCAGCTCATTTTTATTGCTCCAGCCTTCAGCCTCAGCTGATTCTTTTTTTCCTGACGGCAAAACAAAGCATTAAGTTAATCTACTTTCCAAACCTCCTACAACCTGCTTTCAGAAGTAGCATTATCGCCATTATATGGAGGGCAAACTAAGGCACAGGTGGCACCATTTCAGAAGTATCTGTGGATTGGAGCAGTACTGGATTTGAGACATCTATGAAATGCTTTCCTGAAACTTCTCTTACAGCAGCAAGTGTGCAGTATTTTTATGAATCATCTTCAGGGCTTTAGAATCAGGAGCCTCAAAGGAGTTAGGAACAATCGCTAATGACAGCCTTCCCATGTGGAGCGACAAAGATGATTAAGGGACTGGAGCATCTATCATGTGAGGAAAGACTAAGGGGGCTGGGCCTGCTTAGCCTGAAGAAGAGAGGACTGAGAGGGGATCCGATCAATATATGTAAGTATCTGAGGGGAGAATGTAAAGAAGAGGGAGCCAAACTCCTCTCGGTGGTGACCAGTGACAGGACAAGGGGCAACGAGTACAAGTTGAAACACAGGAAGTTCCACCTCCATGTGATGAATCATAGAATCCTTAAGGTTGGAAGGGACCTCTAGAGATCACCTAGTCCAACCCCCCCGCACACGCAGGGTCACCTACAGCATGTGGCACAGGACTGCATCCAAGCGGGTTTTGAAGATCTCCAGAGAAGGAGACTCCACAACCTCTCTGGGCAGCCTGTTCCAGTGCTCTGTCACCCTCACTGTTAAGAAATTTTTCCTTAAGTTCCTATGGAATTTTTGATGTTTCAGTTCCCGGCCATTTCCTCTAGTCCTATCAGTGCCCACCACTGAAAAGAGACCATCCCCGTCCTCCTCACTCCCTCCCTTGAGGTATTTATATACACTGATTAGAGCCCCTCTCAGCCTTCTCTTCTCCAGGCTGAACAGGCCCAGCCCCCTCAGCCTCTCCTCATAGGGCAGATGTCCCAGGCCCCTGATCATCCTTGTAGCCCTGCACTGGACTCTCTCCAGCAGCTCCACATCCCTCTTGCACTGTGGAGCCCAGAACTGGGGTTGGACTAGATGATCTCTAGAGGCCCCTTCCAACCTCAACTATTCTGTGATTCTGTGATTCAAATGACCAGCCCAATACAACACAGGACCTCAGCTCTCCAGGAGAACTGGACCATGTTCCTGGGGCTACCGCAGCCATTTTCTTCTAGTAATTCTCCTTCTGTTTCACTGAGCACCCTTCCTTCTTCCGCAACAGTCTGGAAAAGAGAGCACTGGAGGTTCACAGCTCAGCTCCCTCACCAAGTGAACGACAAGTTTTGCAGAAAAAAAAAAATCTATGTGGTGGAGAACAAGCTGCATACGCAATATGCAGCACTTCCTAACTGTGGGTGCTTCACTGGCATAAAAAGACCACCCTGGGAAGATTCTGAGGAAAGAACAGGAGTGTCTTGGGTTCTTACCAGTGGGAAAACAGAAAAATACAGATGTTCAAGGGGTGCCCTGCACCTTTGGAATGTGTTTTTTTTTTTCTTTCCTCCCCAGAGCTAGAATTTTTCCTAGAATGGAAAAATACTCTGCAATTATGGCAAAGTTATGAGCACAAGAAAACCAGAGCAATTCCTAGCCCTGC